CCGAGCAGCAGCACTCCACCACCTCCTCCCAGCAAGAACAGAGGCCAAGCCGGCAGCCTGCAAAGCTCCCGCAGCAAAGGACAGAGATCGTGACTATGATTCAGCCTTTTGCTTTACAAGCCCCACGGAAAGAAAGGGAAAGAAAGGCTTCGAGCCTCAGCAATCCCATCGAGGTGTCACTTATTTGGCAGACTGAATTCAAGGGAACCGCCACGGCACCATCGTCCCAGGAATCCAAGGCGCCCCCGAGGCAGCGGTGGTTATCGTTGGCTTTTTCAAGCGGATCTGCCCCAGTCTAACACGTTATCAAAGACAGCATGGCGCCCTCACAGCGAACAGAGCTACTCCCAGCACACCAAGTCAGGAAAAGAACATCTGTCCAAGTCCTTATCTGGCACCTACTACTGATCTCCTGGAGAACCACAGGGAGCAACAGACAAGACTTGCATTCGTGAAGTCACAACCAGAGGGGAGAGCGGGAGGGACAGGAGGAGTTTCCAGCACCTCTCCAGCGGGCTGGCAGAGCAACACCACACCCCCCAACCCCACCGAGGGACAGGCACCCTTACCCTTGCTGCTGCATCTGTGAGCACGGCTAAGGCCTGAGACAGCTGGTGGAAGACTTCCGCTGGGAATTAGAAGAAAAAAGGGTAAGATGCAGAAAGCCACGCTAGTGGCCTGGAGGTGAACCAGAAAAGACAATCCCTTATGGAAGAGACCTGCGGAACATCAGAAAGAAGAATAATCTTTCCAAAGCATTTGTAAGCCAGCCTACAGCCAGGATCACCTCAGCTCAAATGACAATATTTACTACATAAATTAAGCAACAAAACTGGGACCATTTCCTTTTAACAGAAATCCTGAAAACATGAATTCAACAGAACCCGCCCACAGAAATGCATTGCTCAGCCTGCAGTCAGCCTGAAATACTCCGTTACAAACAAATTCTCCCTTTTCAGCCCAAGATTCAAGCTTTGCATTTTGCATCACAATTGCTGACCCTTTTCCTGGAAGGTTACACATATAAGCCAGAGGCCTCCCCACACACTTCAAATCACTTCTCAGTCTTCTGCAGATTTCTTTTTTTTCCCCTCTGGTGGAAAAACTTTCTCTGTACTACAGCTATAAATTTTCAGTCTGTAAGACTGTAGCCCATCAAACTGGAAAATGCAAGATGCAGACAACGCTTATTTCGAGGTGTCCTGATGAACAGTGGCCTTCCAGTTACCACTGCTGGTCACTGCCACCGGGAGCTACAAAACTTCACAAGAGACGCCAGACTGGCTAACAGCTCAGCTACCCTCAGTTCTGCACAGCCAGGGCCTTGTCTCCAACAGACAAAACCGAGCACTGCCCATAGAAGACACGCTTTATAAGCTTGCTGTTGGAGTTTGGACTGTGAGAGGTATGAATCAAAACACTCACATGCATGGGGACATGCACTGGGGACAGCAGGGCCAAAGGTCTGGGATTCAAGTACCACGTGGGAAGATTTTGAGAGATGCAAATATAATTTCAGCACTGACTTCACCCTGAGGTTTCTAAACCCAACAGGAATGCATTCAGCGCTAAAACCCGTAGCGCCCCAACAGTGACGAAGAGAACTCTTCGTCCTGCCTGTGTGCACTTCAGAGGCGGCGCCCAGGCATCCCCTTAATTACACACAAAGGCAGCCCTGAAGTCGAGCAGAGCCACTTCCAGGAGTCTGCACACACGGAAACAAACACGAAGGGTTGTTTGTGCCTGCACAGCCCATCTTACCTGCTCTGGGGTTGTCCGGGTTCTTGTCTGGGTGACAAGTCAGGGCCTTCTGCCGGTACGCTTTCTTCACCTGCAAGAGCCAGAGCTGAGATTTACTGCGGCTGCTGTTCAGCTGGAGTTGAAAAGAGCAACTTGGAAAAAAAACCCAAAACCAGCAACACTGCAGAAACAAAAAATTACTATTGAGAGGGTCTCCTTTGTTGTTGGTTTTGCTCAACTCAAAACACACCTCCCTCCCCAAGCAGAAGGCTGGGGCTGAGCCAGCATTCATCTGCAGGACTCGATGCCCCCCAGGCCTGACAGAAAGTAAAGGCCATTTTGGGAGTGCTGACAGCTCCGTCACGCCCTCCCGTGGGAAGGTAAAGCGGCCTCCTGTAACAGCAAGGGACCCCTGAAAAGCCCCGTCCTCAGCCTCAGCGCGGTGACCCGTCCTTTTGAACCGCCCTGTGCTGCGAGCGCCAGCATTTGAGCCCAGGACACCCAGCAGACAGGCAGCCGTATCCGCAGTGAGTCCACACTTTTCAAAGCCAGAAGTCTGGCTCCTAGGTGCGCTGCATGACAGCAGTCAAACCCCACGATCACCGAAGCCAAGCCTGGGTCACCGAGGCACAGGCACTTCTTTAGCCAGAGGACACTGCATCCCTGTGACTTCGGGACAGGGAAAGCGCCATTTACGGTGCAACAACTGAGCTTGGGAAGGTGAGGAATTTGTGACCAAAGCCCGTTTAACCTCTTCTGCACGTCAAAGAAAGATTGTTAAAGGCGACTTGGCTCAGAAAGCTGTCAGTCTGAGCTCCCTTTGTCAGGGACACACACCCGCAGGCAAGAAAGGGAAGGAGGAAGAGCTGCTCTGTGCGGCCCTCTGCTAAACCGAGGGGAACAAGCGGTGGCCTGGCACCATCTGGTGGACAAAGCTCTTGGAAGGGAAATGTACAGCTTAAGTCTTACAGCCTAATCCTGCCTCCTGCCTGGGCAAGCAGTTAGGACAGAGGTAAGTCTCCTCCCCGTACATCAGTCACAACTATTACAATAACTGTTCCACGTAGCAAGTTCAGATAAAGCTTGTCTGAACACCCAGGTTAAATTACTTTCACAGTCTTGCTCCCCTTTGTCCATCTCTCTTGGCCATGCTGCTCTGCATACAAAGGCTCTTTGGCTTGTTTCGAGTATTTCACATTAAGGATTAGCACTCTAAATTACACTTATCATTTTTTAAGTCGCACCACAACACCTAATCTGTAATTTTCTCATCCTTTTCCCAGCAGTGACTAGCTCAGCAGTGAAGCTGAGGTCACCTGAAGTCTTTCATGCATTCAATCCTGTTCGTTACATGCAGCTTGTTCCCCTGTTTTGTGGAACTTTCAGGCAGCCTGAGACACAAATGCTGTTTATGCCCAGAAACTACAGTTTCCAAGTTTTACCCTATTGTACTGCTAAAGAAAAAAAAAAAAAAGTAGTCTAAGGAGAAAAGTCAAAGCTTTCACAGAATCACAGAAGTGATTCCTTTCAAGTTTAACTTTGTTCAGTTACTAATCATTTTACTCTGAGCCTTACTTCCCTTGGAATGTCACTTTCCCAGCTCAGATGCTCAAATCTTGTGTTTAGCATTAACTTACCAGTTAAATTACAGAAAGAAGGGAAACATGTAACTGCAGATGCACAAAATTAACAAGACGACTTATGGGAACCTACAGTACCTAGACTAACTCCTAACAACTGGACTTTAGGTAAACGCAGGAGGAGCTTTCCTTCTGGAGGCACATAAACAAACAAAGCAGGAGAAATAACGTCCGAGACAGATTTTGCAGTTCTCCCCGACCGACTTCATCCCCCTCCAAGCCAGGTCGCGCCCCCAGGCTCCAGAGGAGACAGCAGAAGGGAAGCTGAGCGCGGCAAAGCCAACGTCGGACAGAACGGCCTTTCCCACCTCCCAAAGGCTCGGGCCGACAGGGCAGCAGTGCCCGGGGCAGCGAGATCCCAGCGGAACAGCCTCGCAGCCATCGCTCAGCTAAACGCCCGGAGGGCGGCAAACGCGGCCCCCG